TCAAACAATCCGCCCGCCTCGGCCTCCCAGAGTGCTAGGATTACAGGCGTGAGCAACCGCGCCCCGCCTTAAGTATTTTGGATATTCTTGGTTGTCAAAATTTGAGTCAGTGATCTCAAGGAGTTCCCTTTTCACTATGAAAAAGATTTTTGTTGCTGCTGTTTTTAAAGAAAAGATAAGAAAAAGAAAAACTAGAATGATGACATGAATCATTGTTTTTTTTAGTAAAGCACAAAGGCAGGACGATCAGGTGGAGAAGAGTGGCAGTTTTCCCATTTGAGAGTAAGAAAAGAAAAAAAAGCTTTCCAGCTACACCATCTTCAGCCAGCCCATAAATCTCTCTCACTCTTACCAAGTGCTATGATTTGAGTATTTGTCCTCTCTAAAACTCATGTTGAAATTTAATTGCCATTGTGACAGTATTGGGAGGTAGGACTTTTAAGAGGTATTTAGGAGGCTCTGTCCTCACGAAGGGACTAATGTTCTTATCTAGTTATCTGGGGAGTAGTTCACCCCTCTTGTGAGCAGGTACACACATGTATTCTCTCTCTCCCTGTCTCTCTCTCTCTCTCTCTCTCTCTCTTGCTCTCGCTCTCGCTCTGCCCTTCGACCATGTGAGGATGCAGCAAGAAGACCTCACCAGAAACTGGCACTGGGAAAGGAAAAAAACTTTTTATCTGAGGAATGCGAACCCAGAGAGGCATTTAAAATACAACAGGAGGCTGGTCCAAGTGTAGTGGTATTTACAAGTAATTGATCGCAAATCAGTTACAGATGCCTTTATTCCTTCTCCACTCCCACTGTTTCACTTGACTAGCCTAAAAAATAAATCGATAGATAGATAGATAAAAATAAAAAAATGAAATACAACAGCAGTCATGTCTCACTCCCCCTTGAGCTAAGTAATTACCTCTTGAAGCCACTTGATGTTGTGGGCTCTAGACTAACTGAGGCCAAGTAGCCATAAAATGCCACATGCTGAATACCACAACTTATACCCTATAGTTCAACAATGGATAGCCAATCACCAATCAATGCTATCTCTGTAAATCAGTGAGAATTCCTGATGAACAACTTTGCGTTAGCCCACTCCTTGTTCCCTTTGCCTTTAAAAACCTGCTTGTGGCCAGGCATGGCAGCTCACGCCTATAATACCAGCACTCAGGGAGGCTAAGGTGGGAGGATTGCTTGAGGCCAGCAGTTTGAGACTAGCCTGGGCAACATAGTGAAACCCATCTGTACAAAAAATTTAAAAATTAGCTGGGCATGGTGACATGTGCCTATAGTCCTAGCTACTTGGGAGGCTGAGCCAGGAGGATTGAGTGAGCCTAGGATTTCAAGGCTTCACTGAGCTATGATTGTACCACCGTATTCCAGCCTGAGTGACAGAGTGAGACCCTATCACTACAAAAAAACAAAAACCACACAAAAACCTCCTTATAATAAAGGTTGGTAGAGAAGAGCACTCTCCAAGCAACTTGGAAGTATGTCCCAGGCAGCTGTCCTTAACACTGGCCCAAATAAACTCTTTAAATTATATTTTGTGCCTCAGCTTCTTCCTTTTAAGTTGACAGAACCTTGACTTGGACCTCCCAGCCTCCAAAACTGTGAGCCAATAAATTTTGTTCATTGTAAGTCACCCAGTCTGTGGTATTGTCATAACAGCACAAACAGACTAAGACACCAAGCCACAGATGTGAAACTGCCCCCCTCTATTCCTCTTCCATATTTGCTATATCCACCATGATTAATTTTGAAATTATTTCTTTCCTTTTGACAACCTCCCTTGCTATGTGGATATTTCTTCAGGAGAGGTAAAGGGAAAAAAAGGAGGTAATAAAAAAGATAAGAGAACTAGATGGATGAAACTTCTCTTCTACTCATCCCGATTAGTGTCCTGGGGGTACCCACAAACATGCACAGGCTGCAACAGCTGTGTGTGAGAAGGATGATCTGTGAGGCTGGAGGCTGGGAAGACATAAGCTTTGTAGTCAAAATCCATTTAGATCTGAATCACACCTCTGCCAGCCACTGCTACATGTATCTTTGCACCCACTAGACAGTCGCATTCTATCAGCACAAGGAGGCTCCCCTAACTTGCTGACTCTACCATCTCCAGTTAGCTAGGCTTAAAATCTGAATATTCTGGACTTGTTCTTACCACACTGTCCTCTAATTCCATTCTCTGCATGCTTGATTCCCGGCTCTGACCCATACTAGTTGTGTAACTGTGGGTAAGTCACTTAATCACTGATTTTTAGTCTTATCATATGAAAATAGACATGATAATAGTATGTACCTCACAGGTTTGTTGTGAAAATTAAATAATTTATTAAAGGCCAAGCATGGTAGCTCACTCCTGTAATCCTAGCACTTCGGGAGGTTGAGGTGGGAAGATTGCTTGAGGCCAGGAGTTTGAGATCAGCCCGGGCAATAGAGTAACAAAAAATAGAAAAATTAGCTGGCTGTGGTGGCACATGCCTATAGTCCCAGCTACTTGGGAGGCTGAGGCAGGAGGATTGCTTAAGCCCAGGAGTTTGAGGTTGTAGTGGACTATGATACCACTGCTTTCATGTCCAGGTAACACAGTGACCCTATTTCCAAAAATATATAAATAAATAAATACATACATAATTTATTACACATTAGAGCAATATTCATAAACGTTAGCTACCATCATTGTTATTGTTCTCCCCTCACTCTTACAATATAGGGCCCTACCCAGAATTTAGGACTTCTAATGACCTACCAAACAGAAGTCACATGAAAGGAAGCAGGTTACAATTCTAATTTCAGGCATACTAAACTGCAAGAACTTATTGATTCAGAAAGCATAAAAACCAAGACATGTTAAAGCTTTTAGAAAAAAGTGTTATTTTTAGTCTAAGAGAAACAAATAAAATTCTCTAATTCTATATTCTGCTTGAGGAAACAAAGAAAATTTTAAATTCTTTGAATCAATTTTCTAAGAGATCTAATTGTTAATTTCCTCACAGAATCAAACAAAAGGCAGCAGAACATTTATAATAGATTAAAGCTTTTAATGTATGTTATATTTTACCCAACTAAGTAAAAATGGCTGTGCATGCTAATTATTTGAGTAAGTTATTTACAAATCTTTATTTTAAAGAAGAAAACACACCTCATTACTGAAGAATTTTTCTAAGAGTGACAGTACACAATCACTTTGGTCCTCATCCTCAGCAACTTCATATTCTGCCTGATTGGAGAGATGGGAGAAAAGAAAAATGTTAGTTAAGCCAGGCGTGGTGGCGCACACCTGTGATCACAGCTACTCGGGAGGCTGAGGCAGAAGGATCGCTTGAGCCCAGGAGTTTCAGGCTGCAGTGAGCTGTGATGACACCACTGCACTTTAGCCAGGACAATAGAGTGAGACTCTATCTCTTAAAAAAAAAAAAGTTAGTTAGGTTTCTTCACCAATAACATTTCATAATGTTTAAAATTCTCTGACTTACGGAATTGACTTATTACCCTCAAAACCAGAGATCTTGGTATATTGATTGAGTATCTACAGCTTTTCTTTGCGAAACTAACGGCTATGAGAGGGTAAAAAAGTAGTAAAGCAATGCTTTCCATTATACTCTCCATGTCATATTATATTTTCAGCCATTAAATGTGGCCAAATAAAATGGAATAAAATAAATAGCTTGGACTATTCTAGGCAATAGCAATTTAGAAATGTCCAAGAGGTCCTTGGAAAGCTGAGTCCAGAGCTACCAGGGAGAAGTCAGAGTTGGTGATATCAAAGTAGGGTCATCCACACACAGGTGTGAGGTGACTGGCCCTAAGAGTGGGTGACGTTATCCAGGCCAGAAAACAGCAGAAGGGTCAGGAGCACAACCTGACCGATATCTGAACATTTGCAGAGGACAGGTCAGGAAGAACTGGAAAAGAACTGATAAGATGAAAAGAAAACCTAAGGAGAGATCACAAAAGCCTAGATAAGAGAATTTCAAGAAGAAGCTAGTTAACAATGTCAACAGACATGGAAACTCAAGCATAAAGAGGCCTCAAACTCTCTTTTGCAAGTAGGGGGCCTTAGAAGAGCAGATGGCAGTTGGAGAGAGAAGTGAGGGAAGCTAATATACTCTGTATCCTTCACAGGCCCAGCACAGATTCACGACTATCAGGCTGACACGGCCAGAATGAGCTTCTCCTTCTATGTTCAAGGGCACTGTATTTACCATGGCAAATAACTAGCATACTGTTTACTTAAAGAACCATTAGACTTAAGTTCTGGGAGTTCTGGATACTGTATGGAATGCAATTAATGGAAAAGAAAGCAGTTGGATGCTATGACGGTCTTTTGACATGCCAACTTGGTAGGCAATGATCCACAGTTACTCAGTCAAACACTAGTCCAGCTGTTGCTGTGATGGCATCTTTATATGTGATTAAAGTGTATAATCAGTTGACTTGAAGTAAGGTAGATTAGCCTAGATAATTTGGGTAGGTCTGATCCAATCACTTGAATGGTGTCAAGAGTACAGCTAAGTTTTCCACGAAGAAGAAACTTCACCTGAGAAGAGCAGCGTCAGCCTATTTCTGGAGAGTTCTACCATGCCCTTCCTGAGGGTCCATCCTACGAATTTCAGACTTTTCTAGACAGACACCACAATTATGTAAGCCAATTCCTTGCAATGACTCTCTCCTACTGGTTCTGGTTCTCTGGTTGAACCCTGAACCAGAAAATAAATATATAATATAATATATAATATAAATATATTTTATACTTAAAATATATTTTAAAAGTTTAAAAAAATCCGTATCAGAGAAAAAAATGAATACAAACTCAATGATTTAAGACAGTCCTTTCCATTTAATAAGTGTTTAATACATATTTGCTGATAGAACTAGGACAGGCCAAAGCACAGAGAGGAAGGGTCATAACCTTGTTCTGACGGTACAAATAACAAAAAGTAAGAGAGCTTTTCTGCTAAATTCCAATTTCCTATTGGTCACTTGCTTCTGAATTTCACAGTTTTGGAATTCTAGGCTTGCCAGTGGCATCTGCAAAAATTTAGAAATGTGAATTTTCTTTACCTATAGGGAAAACACAGTAAATCTCAAATAGGATACATAAGAATGTTGGAAATTTTATAGAGCACAGTAAATTCCATCTAATATGACCATTCTTCTTACACTAACTTTATCCCCTTCATATATGATTCTGGGTTTAAGGTGTTTTATGTTTATAGTATCTGCCATTTGAGAGTAGAAAGGACACTTTTCAGGTGGCTGAACAAGTGTATCATCTTAATTAACCTGTCCACCTTCATACAAATCAAAGCAGCATGTTTCAAAGTCATTCGGTAACTACATGTGATTCTCCAACACCTAAAATGTAATTCTATATGAATACCACTTTATACAAAAGAGATTTCTGAACTTAGAAGATAATATGACACCAAGACAGTTAGTCTATCATCTAGCCAGTCTATCATCCAGCCTACATCAGCGGCCAGGTCTAGTTTTCAAATTTTCAAAAGCACAAGATTGGGTAGGCAGTTCAACACTGAGATAAATCACTTACCACTGCGTCCAAGAATTCAATGCATCTCTTTAGAGTAGGCTTTGTATCACAGAATTGCCTGAAGAGAGCTCTTCCTATTGGCTGCTTGTCACAAAGACTGTTATAATCCTTTTCTGGGTGGAAAAGGGATAAGAAGCAAACAAATATAATCGTTACAATCCACCAAGTGCTGTTCTAGACCTTACTTACTGTTTTCACTTGATACAATAAAAGTCAAAAACAGTATATGGTATTATTTTTTAAACTACTATTTTGTTTACTAATTTAGACTGGGTTTATCATAAACATTTAACATACCTGAGCAGAACCAAAGATAGCTGGAAGAACTCATAAAGATATATGAAGCCTGGGACAGGGCCAGTGGCGCAATGAATAACACGTCTGACCACAGATCAGAAGATATGTGAAGCCTGACTTGAAATGGCCTGCTTTTCTCCAGAAGGAAATACACAGGGGATTGTGATTCTTGAAGGAGCTGTGCAGGTGTGGTCAACAGCAAAGGAAGAGAGGGGCAGAAAATAGATCTGGGTCTTTCCAATACTCCACCCCCCTATATGTTTGGCACAAATTGCATATATGTGAAATATATTGCACGAATGCACGAAATTAGGTTTTTAAAAGTCTTTCCATGTTATTACCTTTCTGTACTTTCAAAAAGTTACAAATATTATAGATGCTTAATGGTTTTTAACTGCTCTTGTGTTTTTGGTTTTGTTTTTTCTTTCCGGTAGGAAATATGTTATACACCTTATTTAAACTTACCTCAAACACTAATATTGTTTTGAGAACAAGTCAATAATATTTCGTCAATGTATTAAGAGAGATATAAAATAAAAAAATCTTATGTCCAAAACAGGTGAATTTAAACTTCAGCAAGAAATCAACTGCCCTCTTAGCAGTGGCTCTCAATGTGAAATGAACATAATTACTCGTAAGGTGACTCTAAAGCTGAAGAATTACAATGAAATTCATGAAAGGTAGGTGAGCCACAAATCCCTCAATTGAAGGGTTTATTAACGTCAAGTAATTATGGGAATCTAAATAGTCCTGCTTTGAATCATCAAATTTGAACATAGAAAAGGACATTTTTGTTGCCAGTATATTGTTTAAACAAACATCACAACAGTTTTGCAAAACCTCTACAATCTGCTTTGTCCAATTTTGCTACCACATTTTACTTTAGGGATATTTATTAGCTACACTTATAAAGAATTCTGTCAGAAAGTTATAATTTTAAAACACTAAGAGTTATTAATACTTTCCTCCCTAATCCAAAGGTTCAGAAATGTTCCTAGTTTCCAGCTGAGATGGCAGATGGAGCACACAGGTCTGCCTATATTTTATCCGGATTCCTAATGAAACAACCAAATGTTAAACAAAACCAGGCTGGGCGTAGTGGCTCACACCTGTAATCCTAGCACTCTGGGAGGCCTAGGCGGGCAGATTGTTTGAGCTCAGGAGTTCGAAACCAGCCTGAGCAAGAGCGAGACCCCGTCTCTACCAAAAATAGAAAGAAATTAATTGGTCAGCTAAAAATATATAGAAAAAATTAGCCGGGCATGGTGGCGCATGCCTGTAGTCCCAGCTACTTGGGAGGCTGAGGCAGAAGGGTTGCTTGAGCCCAGGAGTTTGAGGTTGCTGTGAGCTAGGCTGACGCCACGGCACTCACTCTAGCCCGGGCAAAAGAGTAAGACTCTGTCCCACAAACAAAACAAAACCAAACCAAAACACCAACAAAAAGAATGAAACCCTAACACAAAAAAAGAGTACAGGGCACCCTTGGGAGTCATAATTTTGAGGATTGTCTGGAAGAGAGAAAGCTGATGGGGTTCGATTATAAAAGGAAGCATCAGCTTAAGCCCCAGAGAGCTGGGCCTCTTCAGGAAGCCCTTTCCCAATATCTAGATCAGGGAAGCCCCTCCCCAATCTGGATCAGAATGGCTAGCTGACAGACTTTTCCTTTAGGCTGAAGCTCACTTTAAAGAAAGTGGCTATCTGCCAAGAGAGATACTGGGACCTGAGAGGGAGAAAAAGAACACAGCTTAAGGAACTAAAGTGCTCTCCTAACAAAGTGAAGCAATTCTGCCTGTGGCTGCTGGAATATGTGCCCTGTCAAGATGCCAGCCATCATAGGCCAGGTGCGATAACCCTAGCACTTTGGGAGGCCAAGGCACAAGGATCATTCGAGGCCAGGATTTTCAGCCCAGCCTGAGCAAGAGTGAGACCCCGTCTCTACAAAAAATACAAAAATTAGCCGGCATGGTGGTGCACACCTGTAGT